TCCCCCATCCTGATCCCCCATCCTGATGTCCCCATTCTTTTACCCCATCCTGCTGTCCCCATCCTGCTCCTCCATCCTGTTATCCCATCCTACTGTCCCCATCTTACTCCTCCATCCCAACTGTCCCAACCTGCTCCTCCATCCCGTTGTCCCCATCTTTCTCCCCTATCCCACTGTCCCGATCCTGCTGTCCCCATCCTGTTCCACCATCCTGCAGTCCCATCCTGTTTCCCCATCCTTTTGTCCCCATCCCGCAGTCCCCATCCTGTTCCTCCCTCCTGCTCCTCCATCCCACTCCCCCACCCTACTCCTCCATTCCACTGTCCTCATCCTGCTCCTTCATCCCGTTGTCCCTATCCTGTTCCCCCATCCTGCTCCCCATCCTGCTCCCTCATCCCACTGTTCCCATCCTGTTCCCTCATCCTGCTGTCCCCATTCCACTGTCCCCATCCTGCTCCCCTCTAATCTGCTGCCCCGTCCTGCCTCCCCCAACCTGCTCCTCCATTCTGCTGCCCCCAAAATTATTATTCCCATCTCACTCCCTGCATCCCACTGCCCCCATCCCACATCCCCATCCTGCTGCCCCCCAAAACACTCCCTCCATCCTGCTGCTCTCATCCTCCTCCCTATCCCACTGTTCCCCCAACCTGCTTCCCTAAATGTTCCCCCAGTTCACTGCCCTCCAGACCCAGCTTCCCCAGTTTGCTCCCCTTTGTTCACTCCTTGTTCATGTGCCTCCCCCAAACCACATCCCAACCCTCTCGCCATCTCCTCTCCCCCAGCCTTGTGCCCACCTAATCTGCTGCCCCCCACCCCTCTGCCCCCAGGACCTCAAGGGCCAGTACTGGACGGACGATGACTCCGACGGGGACAATGAGTCCGAGGAGTTCCTCTACGGCGTCCAGGTGGGTGCTGACTCCCACAGGGCAGTGGGGGGGTCGGGGACCTCCAGCCCGAGCGCGATCCCGAGCCCGGGGCCGCGGGGGCTCCGTGCCTGACGGTGCCGTGGGGGCTGTGCCGCAGGGGACCTGCGCCGCCGACCTGTACCGGCACCCGCAGCTGGACGCCGACATCGAGGCGGTGAAGGAGATCTACAGCGAGAATGCCGTGGCCGTCAGGTGGGTGCTGTGCCCGGGACACCCGGCTGTGGCATCGCTGGGTCACCTGTCCATGGCATCACTGGGCATCCGGTTGTGCCGTCCCTGGGCATCCAGATGTGCCATCCCTGGGTACCCAACTGTGCTGTGCCCAGGACACTGGCTGTGCCATTCCTGGGCACCCAACTGTGCTGCACCCAGCTGTGCCATCCCTGGGCACCCAAGTGTGCTGCACTCAGCTGTGCCATCCCTGGGCATTCAGTTGTGCCATGCCAGGGCACCAGGCTCTGGTATTCCCAGAACACCTGGCAATGGCATCTCCTGGGCACCTGGCCATGACATTCCCAGGTCACCTGGCTGTGCCATCCCTCAGACACACTCTCACCAGGATACCCAGCTATGGCATCCACCAGGCACCCAGCTGTGCCATCCCCAGGACACCTGGCTTTGCCATCACCAAGTACCCATTTGTACCATCCCTGGGGCACCTGGCCATGGCATCACCAGACACCTGGCAGTGCCATCCCTGAGGCACCCACCTGTGGCACTCCCAGGCATCCACCAGTGCCGTCCCTGGGACACCTGAGTGTGCCATCTCTAGAGCAACCCACCTGTGCCATCCCCAGCACACCTGGCCATGCCATCCCCATGCATGTGGCCATGTTGAGCACCCAGTTGTGGCACCCCTGGACACTCAGTTGTGCCATCTCTGGGATACCCGGCTGTGCCATCTGTGGGACACCCTGCTATGGTGTTAACAAGGTACCTGGCTGTGACATCTCCAGGCACCCAGCTATGCCATTCTTGGGGCACCTGGCTGTGCCATTGCCACGGCACCCAAGCATGGCACTCCTGAGCACCCAGCTGTGCCATCCCCAGGCACACATCTGCAATCCGGGCACTCCCCCTGTACCACTCTGGTCTCAGGGTACTCACACTCAATACATGGGGACCCACACATGCCTGTCACTGTCTCCTGAGCCTGCCCACCCTGGCACAGTGGGCCCTGGGCCACTGTTCCAGCTCTGTGCCAGCCTCCCTGTGCCACGGCACCGTGTGTTCACAGGGAGTACGGGACCATCGATGACGTGGACATCGACCTGCACGTGAACATCAGCTTCCTCGATGTGAGTCCCCGGGGTGCCCCCGGCAGCGTTGGCACAGGGAGGGTGGGCACACACACCGGGGGGGTCCCCAAATTCCCCTCCCTGGCTGTGTCCCCACGGCTGTGCCGAACCGTGGCTCTCCCTCGGCAGGAGGAGGTGGCGACGGCGTGGAAGGTGCTGCGGACGGAGCCCATCGTCCTCCGCCTGCGCTTCTCCCTCTCCCAGTACCTCGATGGCCCCGGTGAGTGGGGACGGGCAGGACAGGGTGTCCCCCGTGCCCTGGGAACGGGCACAGCGGTGGCACCAATGGCTCGTCCCCATCTCTCCCCACAGAACCGTCCATCGAGGTGTTCCAGCCGTCCAACAAGGAGGGCTTCGGGCTGGGTCTGCAGCTGAAGAAGTAAGAGCTGAAACACACTGGGCATCTGAGAGTGGGGGGTGAGGGGGGCCCACAGAGTTCCTGTTTTGCCCCCAAACCGACCAGGTGCCACATGTCCCTGTGCCACTACCTTTTATCCACCACACAAACCCCTGCCAGGCTCAGCACCGGCTGTGGGTGGGGAAGAGAAGGAGCTGGGGTGTGGCTGGGACCACCCAAGCACCAGGCTTAGGGGACACCAACACACCCACGGGTGCTGTCCCCCATGGTGCTCGGGCACCAATGCCACCTCTCTGCCAGGATCCTGGGCATGTTCACATCCCAGCAATGGAAACACCTCAGCAACGATTTCCTGAAGACCCAGCAGGAGAAGCGGCACAGTTGGTTCAAGACGAGCGGCACCATCAAGAAGTTCCGCGCTGGCCTCAGCATCTTCTCCCCCATCCCCAAGTAAGACCCTGTCACTGTCCCCAAGGTGCCAGCCCTCCGTGCCCTCAGCCTGGGTGGAGCCTGGCACTGTGCCTCAGTTTCCCCACTTGGACTCTGCTGCTCCCCACCAGAGCTTGGGGAGGTAGAGGTTGCTCCAGCTGGTGGGTGAATTCGGTGCCGGGTGATGGAGGAGCAGGGGACAGTGACAAACGGGTGCTCAGGGGGTTCTGTGCCCGCAGGTCTCCCAGCTTCCCTGTTATCCAAGACTCGGTGCTGAAGGGCAAACTGGGCATCCCTGAGGCTCGTGTGAACCGCCTGATGAACCGCTCCGTGTCCTGCATGGTGAAGAACCCCAAGGTGGAAGTTTTCGGCTACCCCCCCGCCAGCACCCAGGCAGGTGTTGCCCCCTTCAACATCCTGGTGGGTGCCACCCCTCCTCGGGGTTTGCTTTCCTCTCCTTTCCCTTGCCAGGGGCTCCTCTGGGCTCAGATCACTTGTGGGGTGCTGGGAACCCCCTGGGGTGGGGGGAGCCCCTCCTATGTTTCTTGTTCCCAGCACCCTTGGGTCGCTCTTGGGAGAGCTTGGGGCCCAGCCAGGCGGCCCGTGGTGCTTTACCCCCTCTTTGGTGCTGCATCGCCTGTGGTGGGGTTGGCACATCAGGGGTCCTGCTGTGCCAGGGAAGGTTGGCATGTCAGAGGTCCTGCTGTGATGAGGAAGGTTGACATGTCGGGGGTCCTGCTGTGCTGGAGGATGTTGGCATGTCAGAGATCCTGATGTGCTGAGGGGTGTTGGCATGCCGGGGGTGCTGCTGTGCCGGCAGGGGTTGGCATGTTTAGGGTCCGCTGTGCTAGAGAAGGTCGGCATATCGAAGGCCCTGCTGTGCTGGAGGATGTTGGCATGTTGGGGGTCCTGCTGTGCTGGGGTGGGGTTGGCACATTGGGGGGYCCACTGTGCCGGTGGGGTTGGGGGTTGCTGGTGCCATGCAGAGCTGGGGGTGCCTGTGGGAAAGGGGATGACGCAGCTGGCTCCGCTCCGGCTCCCTCGCAGGTCGGTGGCCACTGCAAGAACATCCCCACGCTGGAGTACGGCTTCCTCGTCCAGGTGAGAGTCCTGCATCCCACTCACCCTCATCCTGCTGCCTGGAGCATCCTCCCCGCTGCCCCGTGTCTCACTTTTCCACATCCCATTGTCCAGAGCATCCTTCCCACTCATCCTCATCCTTCCCACTGCCCTATGTCCCACTTTTCTGCATCCCACTGCCTCATGTCCTGCTCATCCTCACCCCGCTGCCCAGAGCATCCTCCCCACTGCCCCACATCCCACTCATCCCCATCCCACTGCCTGGAGTGTGCTCCCAGCTCCGTGGCAGGGCCTGACTCCCACCGTCCTGCCCTCAGATCATGAAGTACGCGGAGCAGCGGATCCCGACGCTCAACGAGTACTGCGTGGTGTGTGACGAGCAGCACGTCTTCCAGAATGGCTCCATGCTCAAGGTGGGGTGACAGGGGCCAGCAGGGCATGGGCTGTGCCCCCGTGTCCCTGTCCCACCCTCCCCACACTCCTGTCCCTCCGCAGCCGGCTGTGTGCACGCGGGAACTCTGCGTCTTCTCCTTCTACACCCTGGGCGTCATGTCGGGCGCGGCTGAGGAGGTGGCCACGGGTGCCGAGGTAGGGGCTGCGCACGGTGGGGACCCCGACATCTCCTTGGGGGGCTGCCCCTTCACCCCCCGCTCTGCCCCAAGGTGGTGGACCTGCTGGTGGCCATGTGCCGCGCTGCCCTCGAGTCCCCTCGCAAGAGCATCATCTTCGAGCCTTATCCCTCCGTGGTGGACCCCAACGACCCCAAAACTCTTGCCTTCAACCCCAAGGTAAGCGCCGGGGGCGATGCTGCCCCACACTGGAGGGTGCAGGGGCCATGGGGAGCCCTGAGGCCCCCTCTCATGGCCACCTCTCTCCTGCCCCACATGTAGAAGAAGAACTACGAGCGGCTGCAGAAGGCCCTGGACAGCGTGATGTCCATCCGGGAGATGACCCAGGTATGTGGTGTGGCCTCACACCCCCACGTCTCCCAGTGTGGGATCCAATCCTGGAGTGGCATTTTGGTGCTGATCTCCATCCACCCACAGTTGGATGAGTGCTGGGGCACCCTCTGCACTCCCTCTGTCTTTGCCAGGGATCCTACCTGGAGATCAAGAAGCAGATGGACAAGCTGGACCCCCTGGCCCATCCCCTCCTGCAGTGGTAAGGCCAAGGGTGCTGTGGTCCCATCCCACTGTCCCACATCCCTCCCTGCTGCCCCACATCTGCCGTGACAGGGGATAGAGTGGGAGGCAGCCGGGCATCTTTGGCACAACTCTCTCAGCTCCTTTCTCCTGGGGGGTCACAACCATTCAATGGCATTGGGGCGGGATCTGGCTCCCAGCTTGGCCCTGCTCCCAGGGGACCATGGGACCACCCTATCTGACCTTCCTCCTCCTCCTCTTCTTCCTCCTCTTCCCAAGGATAATCTCCAGCAACAGATCCCACATTGTCAAGCTGCCTCTCAGCAGGGTAAGGGGCCTGGCCAGGCTCTGGGGGATGGAGGGTATGGAATGTGGGATGTGGGATATCAGAGATGGGCTGAAGGGTACAGGAGGTGGGATGCAAGATGTAGGCTGTGGGATGTAGGATGAAGTGTGTAAGGATATGGAGTGGGCCACAGAAAGGTCTGGGCCACAGGATCCATCCCTTGGGATGGAGTCTGAGCCTGGGAGGTGTGGGAGGCTGGATGGGGTATATGGGATGGAGGATGGGCTGTGTGGTGGTTGATGCCACAGGCTCTCCTGGCAATGTCGGAGCAGCCGAAGCCGGGCTGGGCTGGACACAAGGCCAGGCGGCCGTGCATGATCTGTCTGTCTGCCTGTCTGTCTGTCCTCTGCCCGCCGGTGCCGCCGCTGCTCTTCCCGTTCCCCTGGTAGCAGCTGAAGTTCATGCACACCTCCCACCAGTTCCTCCTGCTCAGCAGCCCCCCGGCCAAGGAGGCGCGGTTCCGCACGGCCAAGAAACTCTACGGCAGCACCTTCGCTTTCCAGTGAGTTGCCGAGGTGAGGGGACAGCAGGAGCCCCCCAACAGGCCCTGTGGGGCTGACGTGGGGCTGACTTTTTCCAGCGGCTCTCACATTGAGAACTGGCATTCCATCCTCCGCAACGGACTGGTCAACGCTTCCTACACCAAACTGCAGGTACCGCTCCGCTCCACAGGCCAGAAACACCCCGGAGTGGC